CGTATTTAAAAAGACAAACCAAACCGGTTTGCATGACCTATCCTTGTTTTCAGCTATGCAACCTTTGTAGATCAGCTGCAACATAATACACATGGAATCTATTTTTACAGGGAAGTTCAGTGCTCTTTATTTTGGATCCTTTGAGGATTTGCCCTTCAGTGTTTTAAAAGCAACTGTGAAGTAAAAGCTGTGAATCTTTTTTTTAAAGGCACTAGTGGCTTGTTTTTCTGACAGTAGGCTGACAAGAAAGGGGGTATGAGAAAGGGGGAGAGACATGTGGCAAAGGACCACAGGCCGGATTCAAACCCGGGTCACCTGCATCGAGGACTGAGGCCTCTGTACATGGGTCATGCGCACTTACTAATTCTATGGGCAAGAGGCGGGGTACACCCTGGATAGGTCACCAGTCTATTGCAGGGCAACACAGAGACAAACAGGACAAACAACCATTCACACATACACTCACACTCAAGGACAACTTAGAGAAGCCAGGTAACCTAACAGTCATGTTTTTGGACTGTGGAAGGAAGTGGGGTACCTGAAGAGAACCCATGCATGCTCAGGGAGAACATGCAAACTCCATGCAGAAAGACCCCGGGCCGCTGTAAGGCGGCAGTGCTACCCACTGCGCCACTGGGAAGCCCAACTCTGCCACCCTACTTGTTTGTATATTTTCATAAGTTCATTTAGTTGAATAATTTGTACTCAGTCAACTCAATTGACAAATTTTCTTCTAACACAAGATGCTTAAAAAAAAACCAACTAAAAACTGAGGCTGTAGCATTATTCTGCCCTGCTTGTGCAATTTTTTTTTTTTTTTACTCTTGTAAGCTTTTCAATCAATATTTTCCCTCATATTCTTGGATAAGTATTCTTTATACAAATAAACTAAATGGTCATTAGAGGATTTGATCTATCTACAGCAGTCACTGGGATGTTAGAATTTAGACAAGTAGGACAAACAAGTTTGCACACATGCCTTCATAATTAGGTGCAATTGAAAAGGGACTAATTACCCTTAACAGTCATACTTTTGGACTGTGTAAAGAATCCTGTCCTTGAAGAAAACTATGCACACCTTTGATGCTGGGATTGGATGACATAAATAGAAAACCCCCAAGCCTCTATCAACAACAAAAACAACAACAACAATATATCACTCATTCTAAATAAGCCTAAGCTATATGTAGAACAACATTTAATTATTTAGATGTATCCCATTTATCTTATTCACAAATATATATCAAAAATAGTTAACTTGTTTAACAAGTTATTATTTTCTTCAATCTCACTTTTTCTGTGTTGGAGGTCTTGCTTACTGTTTAGAGTCTAACTGATTCTGCAAGATGTTTTGCAAAAAAATAATTTGTGTGTTCTATGAACCATTCTATAACGGTCTTTAAAACATTTTTCTATTGTCTCTTACATAAAAATACTTATACTTTTATATTATTGTTCACTTTTTTTTTTTTTTTCCAGGTGGAAAAAAGCCACCGGAGCATTTAAAGCTGCTGTTAATCGGTGCACAGGGGACAGCAAAAAGTTCAGCTGTTAATACCATTCTGGGAGGAAAAGTATTCAGTGCAAAGTATAATGTAGATGGCAGAACTACACACAGTAAGACATGCAAACGTCTGGTTAATGGACGGGAACTCACAGTGGTAGATTCTCCTGGATGGTTCTACATTCATACCCTTCAGGAAACCAGTGAGATAGATAAACTGGAAATTGAAAGGAGTGTGTATCTCTGTGCTCCAGGCCCACATGCTGTGCTGCTGGTTATTCCTCTAACAGCAGCAATCCATGCATCATATTTGAGAGCTGTCCAGGAACACATGACTCTGTTTGGAGAAGACATCTGGAAACACACACTAGTTCTGTTTACTGTGGGTGACTGGTTAGGGGGGAAGACTGTGGAGGAGCGAATAGAGAGTGAGGAAGGTCTGCAGTGGATAGTGAACAGCTGTGGGAACAGGTATCATGTCCTGAATAACATGGATGAAAGTAATACGATTCAGGTAAAGGAGCTCATTGAGAAGATTGAAGAGATGTGGGCAGGAAATGAAGATCCTTGTTATGAAGTGGACCTGAACAGAGGAGTACAGATAGAAGCTAAGAAAGAGGCTGGAGACAATATGGCCATTAGGCTGAAGAAGATTAACGAGAGAAAGTCAAGAGTCCTGAAAGAACTGATAGGAGGTAAAGTCTAATTTTTGGATTTTCTTATATTGAATCCATTTAATGTTATCATGTTCAAAAACAAACATTTTCCCCTATTTTACAGGTCAGCCACAGCCACTCTCTGGCATCAGAATTGTTCTTCTTGGCCAGAAGTGCTCAGGAAAGGGAATGGCAGGAGATATGATCCTTTTTAAAAGGCTATTTGGAACAGCTTTTAATACAGCTCAGTCGAAAAGGGTAAGGGTAAGTAAATCTGCTCCCAGTACAGAACTAACCTTATCCATTATGGGACTCATTAGTTATTTGAAGCAGGTCACAGTTTCATTTTGTGTCTTTGTAGAACCTCCCCCATGCAACATGTATGAAACACGAGGGAGACTTTAATGGAGTAAAAGTCTTAGTTGTAGAAACACCAGGCTGGTTCTCGGACTCATCACCACCTGACTGGATCAAAGAGGAAGTTCTCCAAGGTGTCTCCATGTGCTCTCCTGGACCTCATGTTTTTCTCCTGGTTGTTCCAATCTTCAGATCTTTCACAGAGAAAGATCTCAAAGCTATGGTGGAGGTCTTAAAGCCATTATCAGAGAGAGTGTGGAGACACTGCATGGTGCTGTTTACCTGGGGAGACTGGCTCAGTGACTTCCCTGTAGAGAACTACATCGTCAGAGAGGGAAAGGTCCTCCAAGAACTTCTGGAGAAATGTGGGAACAGATACCATGTAAGAAATCCCAATCGTTCTGATAATGCTGCTCAAGTCACTGAGCTGTTCCAAAAAATTATTGACTTGGTAAAACAAAACAAAGGGTTCTTCACAACTAAACTCAAACAAAACAGAAAACGCCCTTGGACATATAAACAACAGCAATTCATAGAGGAGGAGTGGAATAAGAGGGAGGAGGAGCTAATTGGGAAAGTGATGAAAGCTTTATCAAATGAACCAGAGAAATCAACGGTGTCCTCGGCAGCACATAGCATGGATGAGTTTCTCATTCCATACTGTAAGTTTGATATGATTAGGAATTAACTATTGATTTACCACAAACCCGTGGCTTTTTTTTATTGTTATTTAAAATAATACTTATCATTATCTGTTTCAGTGAGTGCAGATGAACCCTCAGAACAACAAGCCCGTGTTGCTGAATGGCTGACTAAAAAAGTGAGGAAGAGGGAGGTCAGCTCTGGGATCGGCAGCATTGGTTCCTCAATGGTTTCTATAGAAAACCTTGATGAAAGTTCTCCAGTTGATGAAAATCCTCCAAAAATGAGTTCCCTCCCACAAGAGAATAAAGACGATGCTTTGAAAACGCCCCCAACTCCTTCAGTGATTAAACGCAGGAACTCTTATTAGGCCAAAGAACTACAGAAGAAAGTTTATTTAATAATTATTCTCTTTAGAAACAAGTATCTTTATCTTTACCAAATGCAATCCAATATACTGAAATAAGAAAACATTAATTGTAGAAGAAAACATTTAAACAGCTCTTCAGAGGAACTGGACGAGGTTTCTGGAAGGGTACAGACTGCTGTCCCCTGTGATCCAGTCCTGCATAAAGGGGATACGATGAGTATGAGGAATTATCGATATTATCGAAATATAATTTCCTATAAAACTATTCTGTGCAGTTTAGTCTGATCAAATCATTAGTGTGACTACATTTGTTTCATGCATTTAGATCATAGGCCCTTTTCAGAATGAGTGATAAATAAGTAATTATCTTTTCTTCTGTGCAATAATCTAGAAATATTCTTCTCACATCAGTTTATTTTNCAATAATCTAGAAATATTCTTCTCACATCAGTTTATTTTCAGTTATTACTTGTTAGGTTCAGAGCTAAAATATTGATTAAAAACATACTCATTTTGAAAGACCTTTTACTGTGCTCTCTAAACCAATTTCTTTTTAGGAATTGTTTGAACTTTTTTTAATTAAATCTTTTTTAAATTTTTCAGTTCTATTCTCTTTTATTGTGTTATCTTTATGTACTTTCCTTTTCTTTTTCCTTTCTCTTGTGAAGCACTTTGAATTGTCTTGTCACTAAAATGTGCAATATAAATAAACTTGCCTTTCCTTTATGGCTTCTTTTTAATTCTCAAAATTGTAAAAGTGTCACAAGAAGGATATTAGCTGATCTTAAAAAGCTTCCATTAGATCTTGTTCCAGAACCTCTTGAAAGGTTTTTGTTTTCATGTTCAGAGAAAGAGGGAGAGTCATTTTTAAATAGGTTTTTAAATATTATGCATTTTTATGCAATGGATATTATGCAATCTATAAGTGGGATTAAACATTTCTGTAACAAGAAAAACACAGAGGTGTTGTTTTATAACCCTTCGAACTGTGGCCTGGTGTCTAATGTATCAGACATCCTTCCAAAGATCATGGAAAAACGCCAGACCTTGGAAAAACTCATCATACAAGATGAAGCCTTGGGCGACGTAGCCCTGAGAAAATCAGAAATATTGAAAGAGGATTACATTCGTCTGCTGAATTTAGTTGATGGTCTTAATGTCTCAGCGGCCTTCACGTGCCCATAAATTGTGGAGATGAAATGTTTTCCAGAGTTCTGATGTTAAACAAATGGCTGGATGCAACATGCAAACAAACAGCTGTAACGTTCATAGACAACTTTAACATCTTTTGGGAGAGGAGACATCTGTTCAACAGAGATGGTTTCTCTCTAAATTGGTCAGGCGCAAAATGGCTGATATCAAACATTTTCTATTCTGTGAACCATGCACCATCAGCTTTGTCCCAAAACAAAGCTCAACCAGTGCCTAAACAAACAATAAACCCAGTACAGCCCGACCAAGCCAAGATAAAGATGGCCAGAAAGACGACACAGAAAGAGCCTACGTCAGAACTACAGGAGGATTCATCCCAGATCTCAGCAAAAACAAGGTCTTGAATTGCCTGGAAACATGCAAATTGAAGCAGCAGGTCGTTTGGTTCAATTTGCTCTTCGGCTTCAATTTGCATGTTTCCAGGCAATACAAGACCTTGTCTATATAAGACTCAAACTCACTGCGGATCCAGACATTTGAATTGAGAAAGCTTCCTGGAGGGGAAGCGAAACGTCTTCAAACCTTGGAAACCAAGTCCAGTGGATTGTTTTTAAACTTTTACAGAATGACTATGACCTGGATGACTGAGAATCTTCATCAGCATAACGACATAATCTATTTTGAATGCCTAAGGGTTATTTCGCTGTTCCAGGTATAAGTACAAATAGCAATATGGGGGTAGGCAGGACATAAAGAGTTGACATGAATGAAAGTTATTGATATTTTGATTATTTATTAACTCTATATCCTATTGAGCAAATTCATTCAAGTATGACCGGATACTGATAATTTTTTATCATGCAATGATGCAGCCTATACTGAACTGAAGACACCAAGGAGGATGCTTTGGATGTTTTGCTCTGGTGGAATGAGAATGCAAAAACTAGTCGACTGGGATAATATGGGTTTCCATCTGTACCAAAAGA